AGAAGAATGGTGTCTGAGAACATGTTGCAGTCAAAATTTGAGGAAGTTTACTGCTTTGTTGTGAAAGAATTCTTGGGTTCTGTGCAAAAAACAGGGTAGACTTTACAACTACCACTATAAGTAGCATCTAACCTATCCTTTCATGGTATTGGACCTGGGTACTTGAGAGACCGCCTGCTGCCAAATACCTCCAATAGACCGATTAGATCCCACAGATTAGGCCTCCTCCGAATTCCATTCCCCGGCCAATGCCGACTGGCGACTACCCGGAGGAGAGCCTTCTCTGTGGCTGCTCCGACCCTCTGGAACGAACTCCCCGTGGAGATTCGAACCCTCACCACCCTCCAGGCCTTCCGCAAAGCCCTTAAAACCTGGCTGTTCCGACAGGCCTGGGGCTAAAGAGCTGTTGCCCCCCCGCCTCGAATGGTATGACTGTTGTGTGTTTTTAAATTATGTATTGTTATGTTTCATCTTTTTTATTTCCTGTTTGTACCCCCCTTCCCTGATTTGAATTGTGAGCCGCCCTGAGTCCCCTTCGGGGAAAAGGGCGGCATATAAATGTAATAAAATCCAAATCCAAATCCAAATCTTTCTTACAGGGGTTGAATTTATACAACCATACTGGGTTTTTCCTGCATGTATCCCTTATATACGTCCACTCTTATAGTTTCTTTCTTTCTGAGTAGTCTGTCAGATAAACCCAAAATCGTTGCTGTCCATTAAGTCAAATGCCATCTTGGTCTAATAGCTTACTCTTCAAACGTAATATTTGTCTTCTTTCTCACTGTTGGTTATATTGGTTCTCCATATTGTTTATTTTTTTTACCATATATCTGCAGCATTGGGCCATTTGGGTTAATTCCTAGTTCTTGTGCCTTTAGTATCTTGAACAGCGCTTGACACTAACCCAGGGGTCAACAGCCTGCGGCTCTGGAGCCACATGCGGCTCTTTCATCCCTCTGCTGCGGCTCCCTGATACTCAAAATATGTGCCACAACCACCAATATGCGACACCCGCCAGCATGCTATTTATTGAGCTTTTCCACCTCCAGTAGGCCAATCCAAGGATAAATCCAAGAAAAGAAAGTTTCAGAAGAAAACAGAACACTTAATTCAACTACATACAGTATGCTAGCTTTGTGGCCCCTCAGGAAATAGTCAGGCACATGAATGGTTTTGTGGCTCCCGGTGTTTTCTTTTTCTGTGGGAAACAGGTCCAAATGGCTCTTTGAGTGTTTGATTCCACCACAAAACCGTGTTCGACTAAAGCGCGCTCGACGAAACCGCGTAGCTGACGTCATCACAGCGTGACGAAAAAAGCACGCTGTAAATGCTAAAGCTAAAATTAACCCCTAAACCTAACCCCCCTAAACCTAATCCTAAACCTAACCCTAAACCTAACCCTTAACCTAACCCTAAACCTAACCCTAAACCTAATCCTTAACCTAACGCTAAACCTAACCCTAACCCTTAACCTAACTCTAAACCTAACCCTAACCCTTAACCTAACCCTAAACCTAACCCTTACCTTAACTTGAATCAGCTTGCTTTCAAAGCGCTATTTAAAGCGCCCTTTTTTCTCCACGGTCGCTGTTGTTGCCCTGCTGATGATGTCAGCGACGCGGTTTAATCGGGCGCGCTTTAGTGGAGCGCGGTTTTGTCATGCCACGGAGTGTTTAAGGTTGCTGACCCCTGCGCTAACCAAAGCCTGCTAGTTTTGTCTCTAGTCTTGTTTAATTTTCTTCACTTAGTTATCAAATTAGCAGTCCATTTTTTTTAAAAGACAAGAGTAAACATGTTTATTCAGCCTTATGCCCATTTTTAATTTTTCCCGTCTCTCTCTCTAAGGTAATTTTTATAAATCATAACTTATAAAATATATTTAGTGAAACTGTAATCACCGATCAGTCTTTTTTTTTGTATGTCATTCCAACATTTGCTGGTTGGTATCTCTGTCCCTTCCCCACAGTGGATGTTTAAAGAGTCACATTTCCTGTGGCACTCCTTTCTCGGGGAGTTATGCATTGCTGAAACTAATAGTTGTGCAACCCTTGCCTATTCATTGCAAGTAAACACTGCAGCTGTGTTACATACGCTTTAGCTAAGCTTGTCATCTTTGCCTCCAAGATCTTTTAATTATGGAAGGAAGCCTTCGCTTATTTGCTGTTATAAAAAAAAAACACAGCATAGTCTTTTCCCCCCACAGCAGCAGAAGGTGGCATTTTGAATTAACATTGCCTGAACTCTTCAAATGAAGATTTCATAGCAGCTGGCCTGATCAGATACACCATTGATAGCACTAGAGCTCTGGATATCCGTGCCAGCTGGGTTTTTGATTCCTTGCTTCTTTAGATACAGTGCCATCTTTTTTATCATTTCATCAAAGACCCATTTTATCAACTGTGGTTACGACGCAGCAGGGAAAGAGGATTCTTGAACATTGTGCAGAGTTACAAAAACATTTCTCTTGATTATTTGTGCACATAAAGGATAAAAAGGTTAGTTATTGCAAATATGTGTAAGGATATATTTATAAGTATATTTATACTTGCTGCGAAGGTGGACAACATCCAGGCTCAACACTTTTCTGCTTTATGAGTTGTCTTCTTTTGAATTAAACCTGACTCCTGCACCAGCAATGAGACAATGATTTTCAGCACCCCTGAAGAGATTAGATTAATGTTCAAGTGATACAATGCAGACTGAATTGGACAGTCCATAAAGTTATGTTCTCCAAACACTTGCTACTCCTTCCTTAGGGTTCTCCATGGTGCCTTCCTGCTCAAATGCTAATGCCAGTGTGTGACCCAGTGTGTGCTTTGTCTTGAATATTCAGCAACCTATTCAGTGGCCTGCTGAGTGTGGGTCAGCACCGATTGTTGTTTGTGTGTTATTTCAGATTCGGTGTGTCTGAAATACTTGAGGAAGGACATTGGGAAAGGCAAGCAAGCATCTGAGATTGCTTCAAATCATCCTTGGTCAAGTTACCGTATTTCCCCCGAAAATAAGCTGGGTCTTATATTAATTTTTTTGCTCCAAAAGATGCATTAGGGCTGGTTAGGTCTTATTTGGGGGAAAATATGGTACTAAATGCATCCAGCTGTCTGATTATCTTAACGGGGGTTTATTTTGGGGGTAGGGCTTATATTACGAACATCATCAAAAATCATGCTGGGACTCATTTTCCGGTTAGATCTTATTTTAAGGGAAACAGGGTAGCTAAGCACGACAGCCATTTCCCCCAGCAGGTATAGCCTGAGTCAAATGCCTCTGTCTGTATAATGCTGAGCTGCTCCTGGTCATTAGTGAATGCTCATATATGCAGATGTTTGTGGCATCATTCTATATTAATTCAATTTGAAGAGCTATATCAGTGAGTGTTGCCTTCGGCTAATGTGACTGCATCAGGCAGTTTTCAGCTTTGCATTTCACTCGATTTAATGAGAATCTATGCCAATGGCTTCTTATCTCTCTCTGTCTCTCTCTCTCTCAGCCTTTATCAGAAGTTGTTGCTCTCAAAGGGATTGCGAGAACATTTGTTGGCAACCACTTCGCAACCACTGCCTGGAGGCCACCATGGCTTATCAGAATGTTTTTATATCACTTTTCACAGCTTGTAGCACTTCACAATGGCTTCCTGAAAGTACTCTGGGTTTCAATTTGCAAAGGAAAAAATGTGTAGCACATCTCCCAGAAATATCCTCTTGAATTTTTTTTTTTTTTTTTAAAAACTTGTTGGGAGAGAGTATTCGGTCAACAATTCCTGTCAAAGTAACTCACCCACCCCAGCCTGAGGAATTCTCAGCTGCAAAATCTCACACTTCCTGTCTGTGCATGGTGGGCGCCCATTTCTATCTCTTGGCTCCAACAGTAACTGTCATGGCTTGTCTGCCTTTTGATATCGTAGTCTGAAAGAGATGACTAATATTTTTCACGATGACTGCTGAGAAGTTACATCAGTGATGGATTGGATCTGTGCATCCTTCTCCCTCTCTTCTCCACCCACACCGTTTCCGTTCATGGCAAGTTTTGCCCTTCCTGATACCAAGGGTTTATAAGCCTGGGATGTATTTTTGATTTTTGGGCGTGTGGCGCTTTCATTTCTTCAAAGCAGGTTTCCGGAGGACAATAGCAGGAATCGTCCCTTTTGTCTAAAAGTATTTTCCACCTCTCTCTCCCTATCCACTTTTTTCTGGCCCTTCCAAACTATTGGGTCTCCTTTTTCCTTAAAAGTCCAGCTTAAAACAATTCTTTCCACTTCAGCATTTCTGCCCAAAGGGGTCTTTCAGGTCACATTAAATAAATTATTGTTTTAAAAGTTTCCGAAAAATGCCATAGGAAGCACCTTCTGATTGCACATTTATCTGTTCTTGTATTTGTGAGAGAAACACAAACACACCCATACCCACACAAACCCACACACCAGTGGTGGGTTTAAAAAAAAATTGGAACCTCTTTGGTAGGTGTGACCTGCTTTCTAGGTCCACTGGTAAAACCTCTTCTAACAAGTTCGGTAGATTTGANCTAAAGGGCATTTTTTCTGACCTGGAATCAAGGACACCATTCCTATCATGTGCTCCCATTGATTTATCGCACTATACATTAAAATGCATTATTGGAAAGCCTGCCAGGATGGGGAGACCTACTTTGGCAGCTTAATCTCCAGCTTGGAAGGGAGGGGTCCCACAGAGGCCATCCAGGCCTTTCCCAACCTTGAAACTTCCTGCAAACCACCCCCCACTTCGCTTTGGGGGCTTCGTATAGGAAACCCCCCCCCTAGTTAATGAAGCATGAATTAATGGCAACAACGTTGCAAAACCCGCACCTGAGCAATCCCAGGTCGGGGTGGGGTGAGTGGGTGTTAAGGGAAGCCCCCATCTCGGGCATCAGCGCGGACAGAGCGCCACGGGGGAGGCAGGGATGCTCCGGGAAGGGGCGGGGCCAAGGGGCGGGGCCTAGGATCCCCTCTCCCCTCCCTCTTTCCCCTCAGCCTCCATTACCTGCTCTTGGCGAGGCCCTCCTTTCCCCGCGCCAGGCGGGCCGAGAGCGGGAGAGACGAGGGGGGTAGGTGGGTAGGTCGGTCAACAAGCGCAAGGCCCAGCTTCTCCCTTCCTGGGCCCCCCGTCCCGGCTCTTTAGCTCGGCCCCCGCAGGGCCATGGCCGCCGCCGCCGCCGCGGCTCCTTCTGCTGGGGGGGAAAGGGGGGGAGGGTGAGGAAAGGAGAGCCCCCCGCGAAGGAGGAGAACGAGGTCCCGCGCGCCGCCACGCAGGCGCTCTCGCGGCCTGAGCGGGGAGGTGGGGGCGGGGAAAGGAGAAGGACGGTGGCGGCGCGGGGCCCGCTGGAGGGCTTCGCGCGCGGGGGCCAGGCGTTCGGGCTCTCCTCCCTCCTCCTCCTCCCCCCGCCCTCGCCTTTTTTCACGCGGAGCCGACGAGCCGAGCACTTTGTTTGTGTCCCATAATGCAACGCGGGGCGGCGGCGGCGGCGGGCTGAACAGAAAAAAAGGGAGGGAATCGGCGCGAGGGACTAAAAAAAAAAAAAGGGGGGGCGGGTGGGAAAGGCCGTCAGCGTTCGGCCGAGGGGGCGGAGCTTGTGGCCCTCCAGTCGAGGAGCGGCGCGCGCTCTCTCGGCTGACTCGTTGAAGCGGGGGCGCGCATCGGGG